AAAAAAAAAAAAAAAAAAAAAAGTTATCCATTTCATTGGAGGAGACTAATGGACATACAACTATTCCCAGACCATATTCTAACTACTAATAGAAATGTATACAAAGCACCTGATAAGTGTGGATGAGAAGCTCCAGGTAGAGTCCAGGTCCCAACACTATTTGTTTGGAGAACATGCTAAATAAACTAGGTGGTATTTGAAGCCATAGGGTGATAGGGCCAAATGTAGGGACCTGCCCAAATAGAACATCTAGTCCAAGAAGGAATGAGTGCACCAGTCCCTACCCCTCTGAACTTTTATATTTCCATTCACCTTAACCCATGTGCTGACTCCTTTCTCCGACTCAGCTTGCTAGCACCCAAGTAGAATAAAGGCCACGTTGCCCACTTATAACCTGGACTCTGATTCCTTTCCTTAATGTCTTTGAATAATTCTCTCATTTTCAGTCCTCAACCTCTCCTAGGATAGATCAAAATGGCAAGAGGACCAAGGTCAAGCTTGGGAACCCCAACATTTAAGGAAAGGGAAAGCAGAAGTATCAGGGGGGAAAAGTTTCCTAAAACCACACCAATCTAGCTTTTATCACAGCATAGGTAGGGGTTCTGATTTTTATATTAACATTGTCATGTTTTTTTCCACACTGATACACAGTACAAAGTACAATTTTTTCTGATTGCTTAATTTTCCATCATCTTGACATAACCTGATGTACATAACTGCTATTCTTTCATTTAACACATATTTATTGAGTGTGGGAAAAAGAATGGATATTTTAAAAGTTGCTTCCTTGATACTGGCTGCCTAGGCTGTTTCTGTCACTTGTGTGCCAGATACTGTCCTATGTGCTGGAGAAACAGCTGTGAACAAAACAAATAAAAATCACTTTCTTCATGGAATTTATATTCTAGTGTATGTGTATTTAGGGCAGGGGAAGTAGACATTGGAAAATTTTTATGTAAGCTGTTTAGCATATTGCAATATGATGAATGCTAATAGAAAAAAGAAAGAAAACAGGGATGGAGTATAAACTTGTTTGGAGTGGTAAGATCTAAAATAGGGTGGTCAGTGAAGATTTCCCTGAGGAGAGGGATTTGACTTACTGCTTAAAGGCAGTGAGGAAGAGAGAGACGCAGGCTCTCAGAGAGGATTCTGAGCACAGCAAACAGCCAACACAGCTCCAGTGAGACTGGGAAGGAGGTGAACTCTTTGTCTGCCCCCCTAACGGTTTATTCTAACTTTGCTCTGAGTCATATGGGTTTACTCTTGAGTCAGATGGGAAGCCACCGGAGGGTTCTGAGCAGAGGAGTGACATGATGCGATTTATGACTTGAAAAGCAGCACTTTCACTGTTGTGCTAAGGGGAAGGAAGGTGGGAGAGGAGAGACCAACCAGGGAGTTCTTGCTATAACCCAGGTCCCAGGAAATAGTGGTTTTAGGCCAAGGTGGTAGCACCACTTCTCTCTTTGAAGAGAAGAGGGGACTGTGCTGAGGTGGGGAACCTGCAGCCTTACAGCCACATGTGGTCTTCTAGGTCCTTAAGTGCAGCCTTTTCACTGAATACAAATTTTACAGAACAAATCCTTTTATTTAAATGGGTTCAGCAGAGAAAGATGAAGCCTTTCTTGCCTCCTATGGTGCTTAAAGAACAGTCTTGAGGTCAGGTGCGGTGGCTCACGCCTGTAATCCTAGCACTCTGGGAGGCAGAGGCAGGTGGATTGCTTGAGCTCAGGAGTTCGAGACCAGCCTGAGCAAATGTGAGACCTTGTCTCAAAAAATAGCCGGGCATAGGTGGTGCCTCTAGCTCAAAGGAGTAGGGTGCCAGCCCCATATGCCGGAGGTGGTGGGTTCAAACCCAACCCCTGGCCAAAAAATCCCCCCTCCCCCCCAAAATAGCCGGGCATTGTGGTGGGCACCTGTAATCCCAGCTACTTGGGAGGCTGAGGCAAGAGAATCACTTTCCAGCACTCTACTGAGGGCATCAAAATGAGACTCTGTCTCAAAAAAAATATCTTTAAATCAGAGGCCACAGGTTCCCCACCACCCTGGCTACCACAGCCATCCAGACAAAGATGAGGTGATGTGCCCTAGGCGGGAGCAGTGGCAAGCACTTTCCATTGTGATGTTAAACTGTTCTCAGATTTTCATCGTTATAAGAAATTTATCATGAATTGTTTATCTATATATTTTCACTCCTTTTCCATTTGAATTATCACTGCCTTTGCATAAATTCCCAGGAGCAGAACAAAGGCCAAGGAAATGACTATTTTATGGCTTTTCATGTATATTTCCATAGATTCTCTCCAAAAGAGTCATATTAGTCTACCCATGTGTGGGAATGAACTGTTTGGCCACAATCACGTCAGGTCTGCTGATGAAGGAGACAGTTCACAATCCATAAAAGCAAGCACATTGAATGCACCCAATGTAACACACCCTGTTTAATGCTCCCAGTGTAACACACCCATTTCGATCCAGCCATTTTAAGGATGCAGTTATATCATTGTTCTACTTTAAGGAAAACATTCAGTACCCACCAAACTCTAAAGAGTAATATTACAAACACCCTACGTTCACTGCCAAGATTTAACAAATGCTGATACATCACCGCATTTGTTTCTGTTGTGGCTTTTGATTATCCAGTGTTAGTAGCAGACACTGAGTCTTGAGCATTCTTTTTTCCCCTTGCTATACTTGTGACTCTTTCCCTGTCTTCAACTGTCATTTCAGTTATGACACCTCCAACTTTCTTCTAGCCTCGATATTCACTAGAATATTATTTATTCTCTAGAATATTCACTAGAATATTATTTACTCAGTGACGAAGTTGAGTGTTCTGTGTCAGAAGTGGGAGTTATAGATGAGGGTTGGGGAGGGGAACTAAATGAGAATCTTGGGATTTTTATAGCTGAGGGTTTATATTTTGCTTTTCAGGCAAATGTTCCCAAGACAAATCACCTAGGTCAAAGCAGGTGCATCAAAAGGCCATATACCTAATCACAGAGCTAGTCTGTGGCAGGTCTTGCAGTTCCCAATCCTTCTTGCTTTCTAATGTGTCAGAATTCCTTTGTTAACAAACTTCTTTCCCATTTTCTTTCTTTTTTTTTTTAGAGACAGTTTCACCCTGTCGCTCTTGGTAGAGTGCCATGGCATCACAGCTCAGAGCAACCTCCAGCTCTTGGGCTTAGGTAATTCTCTTGCCTCAGCCTCCTGAGTAGCTGGGACTACAGGTGCCCACCACAATGCCCAGTATTTTTTGTTTGCAGTTTGGCCAGGGTGGGTTCAAGAATCCACCACTCTTGGTATATGGGGCTGGCGCCCTACTCACTGAGCCACAGGTGCGGTCCTTCTTTCCCATTTTCTACTAAGTCACAAGGTCACACTGTAATGAAGGTTGGGCATATTTTCAAGAAGACAGCCACATAGTCTTGCAATAGTTCCACCTCCTCCCTACCCACTACCACAGCCTCCATCCCATACCTCAACCTATAGGTATCCCATCTGTTCCCCTTATTGTGAAATGCAGGGTATCTAATAAATGTACTGTGAAGGATATGGCTGAGGTGCTACAGACATGACACAGCATATCATACCAGTTAAGCATGAGGCTGTTTTGCATCTGACAGACCTAGCTAGTGTATTGGTTTCACAGGGATGCCAAACTGAATTGCTACATCTATGTGATTTATAACAATAGGCATTTATTGTCTTACAGTTTTAGAGGCTAGAAGTTCAAAATTGTCAAAGCCATGTTATCTTTGAAGACTTTATCTATTTTTTGAGACTCAAGAGACAGAGTCTCACTATGTTGCCTTCAGTAGAGTGCTGTAGTGTCACAGCTCACAGAAACCTCAAACTCTCAATCACTCTTAAGTGATTCTCTTATCTCAGCCTCTCAAGTAGCTAGGACAACAGGTGACTGCCACAATGCCAGGCTATTTTTTGTTGTAGTTGTCATTGTTGTTTAGCATGCCTAGGCTGGGTTCAAACCTACCAGCCCTGCTGTATGTGGCCGACACCCAAACCATTGAGCTATGGGCACCACCTCTTTGAAGACTTTCCAGAAACCTTGGCCCTTCTGGTGCAATGCTTGGCACTCCTTGGCTTGTGGTAGCATAACTTCAATCGCCACCTTTGTCCTCACACTGCCTTCTTCCCCATGTTCC